CAGTTCGGTCGCCAAGTCAACTGATAAGCTATCACGAGATCAGGGGTAATGGTGTGGAGAGTAGAGGAATATTGTAGGCACTACAGTTATGGACTTCTTTTGCGGTCTATTTTTGCACATCTTGTTATAATTGCTTTTTGCCGCCTCCTCTTCCTTTATTTTCTTTTTTTTTTTTTTTTTTTTTTTTTTTTTTTTTTTTTTTTTTTTTTTTTTTTTTTTTTTTTTTTTTTTTTTTTTTTTGCCCGCCCGTTATTACTTCTTAATACTCAGTTAATTCTCCACTATCTAGTAGGCTTAAGGAATAACGATGTGGCTGGCTTAATATAATCTCCGCCACGGAGCTAAGACATAAGTGGCACGCGAGTCGAGAATTTGGAAAACCACCAATGAATACAGTGATAGCATGAGATTGGCAGCCATCCAGAAACTCAGTCCATTGTGATTCCCTCCCTTTGGGGTCATCCTTTCCGTGGAAAAGCAAGCAGGACAAGAAACATCCGCAGAGCTTAGCTCAGCCACCCATGACGTAGAAAGAGCTGACCCCCTGCGCGGGTGGCTTGAATTCGGGTTTGGTGGGTGACCCGATCGCCCTCCGGCCGCTTTCCTCTTCCACTCTTCCCCCCCATGACATATTCATCTGTCTCCCTGCTGTTCCTCCCCCTCTTCCTTCTCTCTTCCCCGCTTCACTCTTTTTCACCCGTCCTCCCAGGGCTTATTCTTAGCCGGTCCTGCGGTCTTGTATCAGATCAGTAGTCGATATTGTTTCCACATCTGCAAAATGAGTTCCAGCAAGGATTCAGCGTCCGGCGTTCCCGCCCACAGCAAAGGTTCCTGGACAAGTTTCCTTAAGGTATGAAGTTTGAACGACCGATTTTCTTCTAGGCAATTGGTCCCACACTCTAGACTGTCTAACCCGGTATTGCTTACGGATCTTGGCTAACCGATATGGTACCTTCCTCCAGTCTATCGCCTCCTTCAACGGAGATCTTTCCTCCTTGACCGCCCCGCCCTTTATCCTCTCGTCCACCTCCTTGACCGAATATTCTGCCTACTGGGCCGAACACCCAGCCCTGTTTGTGGCTGCCGCAAAAGAAGCGGACCCAGAGAAGAGAGCCCTGGCCGTCTTGAAGTGGTTCCTTAGCACTCTTCACCAGCAGTACTGCAGTCGCAGTGAGAAGCTCGGTAGCGAAAAGAAGCCTTTGAACCCTTTCCTGGGAGAGTTGTTCCTTGGCAAATGGGATTCCGATGCGGACGTGGGCGAGACCACCTTGATCAGTGAGCAAGTCAGGTAGGTGGTTATGCTGTCCCCACTCCGGATCGTATTGACCGCTTTAGCCACCATCCCCCTGCTACTGCTTATGCTATCAGAAACGAGAAGCATGGCGTTGAGGTATGTAGCTATTCAAGATCTTATGTACGACGAGGCTCTGACTGTGGGTTCGAAATGTAGCTTCAAGGATACAACGCCCAGAAGGCATCCTTCTCCAGCACCATTCAAATCAAACAGATCGGACATGCTCTGTTGACCCTCACTCCTCCAGGTGCGGATAAGAACGATCCTTCTCAGCAGGAACGGTACCTGATCACCCTCCCGCACCTGCACATCGAATCCCTGATTTACGGAACGCCGTTCGTCGAACTGGAGAAGTCCACTCGCATTGCCAGCAGCACTGGCTACGTGGCGAAGATTGACTACTCTGGCAAGGGCTGGTTGAGCGGCAAGAAGAACACCTTCAGCGCCATCCTGTTCAAGGAGAACGAGGGCGAGAAGAAGCCTCTGTACACTGTTGACGGACAATGGTCGGATTCGTTCGTCATCAAAGACTCTCGCAAGCATGAGGTGGACAGATTTTCTGTCAAGGACACGAAGACCACCCCATTGACTCTGGCGCCCGTCGACCAGCAAGACCTCTATGAGAGCCGGCGGGCATGGGCGGACGTTGCGGCAGGCATTGAGCGGGGCGATATGGATGCCGTGTCCGTGGCCAAGTCCAAGATCGAGAACGCTCAGCGCGAGCTTCGCAAGGTCGAGAAGTCAGAAGGCCGCGAGTGGGACCGACGCTTCTTCAAGCGCGTCAACGACGCCGACGATGAGGAATTCTGGCGACTCGCAAGAATGATCGGTGTCACGTCTTTGGAGAGCGACAAGACCGGCGGTGTCTGGAGGTTCGACCCTACCAGCGCTGCGGACGCCAAGCCCCCTTACCACAAGACTGGCGGCGAAGGTCTGGGAATTACTGCATGAAATGATTCGACGGTCGGCAGATATACACGTTGCGTTTAATCAACCTCTTTTATAGTCCAGGTGGACAAGTGATCTGGCAAACATGGCATGAACAAGTGCCCTTATAGAGTACGTTTGCTTTCATAACAGGATCTATTATTTGGCTTTGGTGGAGATGTTTCGGCACCTGTATATAGAACAGTAACGACAGCTGGATAATCAGCGAATCCCAGCGACATTGGAAAGATGCAGTTCGCGTGACGGAGTAATAAGAATGTGTTTTATACTCGCCTCTGGTAATTTCAGTGAAAGCCCAAGTCTTAGCAAGAAGCCTACGTATCCTTGACTAGGGTTTCCCCCGTTTTCATCCCCTCCCACGGGACAATATTAGATTCAATAGTCTCGGGCTGTCTACCTCGGATCAGCCTTCGGTCCGTTACGCCACTCGCTTCATGATTCAGTCAGTGTCTGACCATCAAACCTTATTGAAATTACCTCTATCAAATAAACCCAACATTTGGGATGCGATGAACACGCCTGGCCCTGGCCAGCGGGACCTGGTCCATCGTCATCGTCGTCAGCATTACTGCGAAAGACGAGCATGGGTTCCTGCACAGGCCATGCATCCAACTTTGTCGTGATTTGGATCTTGATCCGTTGAAAGCTACCACACATTGAAAGATGTTAGTCGATGTCAATCTTGCACAGAGCCTATCATGACGATCGTTGATGCCAGGAAGTCACTCGAAGGTGTCGGTCAGAAAGATACCATGAATTATGATTGTTTCCTTTCTCGCGGTCTGCCGTGTTGGAAAATAGGGATACGATAAACCCCCAGGCACCTAATGTTTGGGACTATTCGATACGACTAAGCGGTCTTGGACGTCTGATAGTTACTATTAATCGGTTAATACTCGGTGTCAGGAATGCAGATCGTAACTTCCGTCAATAAGACTATACAATAAGTAGTTAGCGAAGAGGGGGGGAGAAGAGCTGAATGGAAATCAGTGGATGTGTTTCGCTAGTGCCAAGTTTAGGGACTATGGGGCTCTGTGGGGAGTTGTAGACTGTTCTATATACAGTAATTGCTGCTTCCAAATATTAATGCAGGGGTCGAGAAACGTTGCGCAGGATTACGATGGCTCTGTAGGTCAAATTTAGTCTTTTCCGACTTGCTGGTTTATCCGTAGCCTAAGCGATCGTCTGTTGGCTTCGTTGATTTTTCCTTCCATGTGTATAATGAGTTTCGTTTATGTCATGTCATCTACTAGCAAACTATCAAGTTTAGTTTATGTTTCTTATGCATCTTTCAACCATAAAGGCTCGCAGGATGTGTTCTGTTGCTAAATCAGTACCTCTGCTGAAGATAGCATAGGTACGCGCGGTCATTCCGAGCATCTTCGTTACAGTATGAGGCGCACACACACTGTATGACTGGCTTACACCCAACTGAGGTGTATCTGAAAAAATCATGACATTTTAGGTACAAACAACGGTCTAATAAAACTCATACAGTCGTATCATCATCACTCCTTGTCGCAAGGAGCTCCATCTCAGGCTTCCCTGTCTGAATATCGCCAGGATATCTCGCAGCCCAAATCGCCATAACAAGCCACATCAACACAGAGTCAAACACATAGAGTGGCCACTCATTCGTCAAGAGGTAGCCGTTATACCCAATCGCATATTCAACAACACGGTAAATTGACCGAACCAGGATGAGACCACTGACCGCGAAGAGCGTATACATGTGATATTTCCACGGTGACTGTGCATCGGATGTCGGACGCTTTTGCATACGCTTGTGGAATATAAGCGAGACAATGATGAAGAAAGCAAACATGCCCACTTGGAAGACAAGGCCGACTATAACAATGACTTTCGATAAGGTCTGCATTGATTCCATCACCTGCAAGCCCGCTCCGCTGCCTTGAATGAGGAAGGCAAGAACATCGCTCGTGACAAAGACCCTCGTCAACCAACGAAGGGGGATTAGAGAGTGTTGCTCTCCATTGACTCTCCGTATGATCCGACCTAGCGTCATGTATACAGATGCGGCGAAGAGAACTGGAGCGAGGAGAATGAGCACGCTCTGCATACAGTAAGGCCCAAGATCCGCTGTATGGAAATGCGAAATTATTCTTGCGATGAATCCAATAAGCTCAACTGTACTGTGTGTTAGTTCATAAGGCTGTCTTTTGTGGAGTATATAAGTATAACAGGGAATACATACAAATGCCGCCAATGGCTAAGGGGATATTGAACCATGCTCGAGATCGGATTAGCTTGAAGAAGTGGATTCCGGTGGCCCCCAGGAAGAGGACGAAAAAGATAACCGCTGCCGGAACGGAGGGCATGTAGCTCCACAGGTAGTAGCCTGGCACGTAGGGTTCCAGCTTGGCCATGATGGGCGAATGTAGGCTGTCTCTTCGCTCGGGGACTTTTATCGGATTATCCAGCTATGGAGGTGAGATTGTTGCGAGATTGTACTCGAATCCTGCATCCACCTTGGTCTTATATATCTCTTGGACGCCATTATGCACGTGGCTGTACCGCAGGGAAAGAACAATCTCTGCTTGATAGAATCGCAGAATCTGAATACGCGTATAGAACTCAGCCCTTCTCGAAGGTGTCGGACTTGATCCGTTGCCTGGATATACTACCGGATCTGGTTTAGTGGCAGACGAAGTGGTCTGTGCATACGCGGATTCGTGAAACTTCCCCCATACTGGCTTCGCTTGCTTATGCCTCTTACACGTCCCAGTCTCTGCTGCATCTCAACCTCTGAAAATAGCAACCCTACCTTTTTTACGGGTCCGTTGTGACTGTTGGTCAGGCACACTTTAAGCTTATCGCCAAATTTGGAGCCATGGGCGGAGATCCTTGACCACGAGGCACGCCAGGCAGGAACAATACTACCCACCACCATTGCCACATTAGGCGCACGTACGCCGGAAGATGCGCTCTCAGTAATCGACCAAGTTATCGTAAGGATGCCGCGTAGGGCACATAAGAAGTCGCGCAATGGCTGCTTTGAATGTAAGCGGCGCCACATTAAAGTAAGTTTGATGGGTTCGCCTGGCACACCTGTAGCATCAGAATCTGACTTGTGCAGTGCGACGAGAAACAACCGATATGTTCCAACTGTCGGTCTTCGGAACGTTCCTGCGAATACGCGGATCCGTTCATACGGGCGGCCAGTTCGCAGTCAAGCAAGTCATCGATCCCGTCACCGTGCCAGCAGGTGACGGATGAACTACCCCTGCGTTCGCCTGCACATCCATCTTCTCTTTCTCTTTCTGAAAGTCCCCCAGTCAACATGCTTCACGCTGAGCTGTACTTCAACTTGATGAATTACACCCTCTTCAGCCTCAGCGAAGGTGAGATTGGATGGTTTGGTACCCCGGACGTGATGCGAATTATTGTCTCGACGCCTTATCTCATCAATCAAGTCCTTGCACTAAGTGCTCTACACTTGAGCGTAGCGCGTCCAGAAAAGAGAGAGTGGTATCGGCGCCATGCAACCCATCTACAAACGCATGCATTAGAGATTTACAGTCAAAGGAGACTCGAGGTTGACCAGGAGAACAGTGTCTCACTATTTCTTTTCTCCAGCATCCTCGGTGCGCATACTCTCTGTGACGTCTTGGTTCACCGTGAAGACACCAGTTTCGATAGATTTCTGGAAAGATTCGTGCATTGCTTGAAACTCCAACTTGGTATTCGCGTCGTTATTTCTTCGACTACGTGGAAATCACTACAGGAGTCAATCCTTAAGAAACCGCTTCAAGATGGAGCGATCTTGTTCAAATGGGATACGAATCTGGGACCCGAGTGCGCAAGACTCTTGGGGCTTATTGAAGGAGCTAAATTGGGCGATGCCATTACTTCCACCTATCGCAGTGCGATCCAGGCGCTGCAAATGTCCATGAATGCAGCCCTTAGAGCTTCGCTGAAGAATATAAGCGGTGTTACGGGCTGGTCTGTCATAGTCGGCCCCGAATATGCCGAACATTTGGCAATGCAACGGCCCGAGGCTCTGGTAATCCTGGCTCATTACGCTGTGATTCTACACTGGCATCGGCACTTCTGGTTGTTTGGCGATGGTGGCCGCTTCCTTATTGAGTCCATCAGCAGGTATCTAGGCCCGAGCTGGGCGGAATGGTTAGAGTGGCCAAACCGGAGCTTGAGTGAACCTAGTCAGTTAGGTGAAATATCGTAATTCCCCTGTGCCTGGGGATTGAGCATGCAACGACCTGTTCATAAGAGAGCTTACGCGGGACGTTAAGGAATTTTTGGTGACTGCGCTGGTAGCGATTCTCGACATACCCACTCTGTTCTTGTGACTCAGAGGTGATAATCTTCTCCGTGGAGACTGTACATACTTTCCGCATCTTTCACAGCCCTATCGTACGGCCTCAAAAACTTTCGTAGAAATATCGAAATTTATCAATGCTACGATGGCTTGTAACTTCCCTTCCACAATCCCAGTGGACATTGATGGAGATAGTGAATATTGAACGACTACCCAGTCCCTATACGCTCATGGCGATTGCCAGGTTGACTTTGACAATGAACAGACTTCCCTCGCCCGCGGACATCCTGCGAATCGAGTAGGTAAAAGTAAAAGAAGAAGAATCCACCTGTGTCACATAACAAAAGGGAAACCAAAAAGTCAAATCAAGCACAAACGCCAATTTTTGGCGCTGCTGGGAATCGAACCCAGGTCGAAACGGCGCTGCGGAAAACCACAACGTTTCATGATGACCACTACACTACAGCACCTTGATTTGTTAAAAAGGGTGTGCTTAATTTGACTGATAAGGCTCCATAACCTTAAAATTGCTGTGTGCCGCTGGGCAGTGGTTCATGTTGTGTGAGTGGATGGATGGTCTACGACGGGGTTTTACGATGTTTTTATGGAACTTGGATGGCTGGTGAGCTCCATTGAGAGCTGTGCTAATTGCTTACTTGTGTTTTCTTATTGCTTTCAGTTACGAGTTGCGCGTGTTTTGGTTGATTTCTCCGGGTCAGTGTATACTATATTTCAGAGATGCCGTTTGTTCGCAATTATGGTAATAATATGGGCAGTTCAATCGCGCCAACAGAAGCAATTCAATGCCCACAGCCCAGTATCCCCTCAGTCGGGGATTAATGCATCTAGAAGCCAGGAATAGCTCTCCTGGGCCATAAAAACCACACAAATCCCCAACAAACCATATGTCTTCTTGGTATCCCTTTGAAGACAACTGAACCACTCCAACCAGTCTGCCAGGACATGTAGAATGAACAGACAACTATGACCATTATAAAATAGTTATCAAACACGTTTTGCGAAGCCCCACAGACACTGTACCCTGCCGCGAAACGAGAAGTAGTTTAGGGCCTAGCCCATCCTGTCGTTCGTAGCTAGCAGCAACATCGTCTTCTGGCTCTATATGTATCGGTGCGAATGTATTCGATACCCATCGGGAGGTGGCCTAGGACATGTGGACCAGGTATCTCCCTCTAGCTCTTACTGTATCTATCTTGTGCGTAGGTGGGGAGTTCAGTGTATTGTTTAGAGCATTGTTTTATTTCATGAAGGGGTCAATGTCCTATGTTAAGCTCTGAGGGTATGATTTCCCCCTGGCAGACGATTGGTATTGGACAAGAGAAGTAGGCCGGCACACCCAAGAGTGACTCAGATCAGAGTATAAGAGATACAAATACAAATGTAATAGCGCACAATAGCCAAGTAGAAGAAACCCCAGAGGATGGTCTCGCAGACACCAAGGAATCGAACGGAGTGATCGGATAACAAGTCCAAAAATATATAGTACTATCCATCATCCTCCAGCTGCATCCATGACGCCATTTAGAATACCCAATTATTCATCGATGTCTTTGTTTTCTTCTCTTCCCTTCCCTTCACCTTTATTGTTATTATTATTAACGGGCCCGTCCAGTGCATTTATTCGAACCTATGTAAGGTCACCCAAGCGTATTCATCGTGTAATTGCAGCTTCGCCCGCCCTTGTTCCTAGCCCTCCCCAAAGTTCTTTCGTCGATAATTCAGGACCTAGACTGACAGCAGCACATCTTTCCAGGACAGCAAAATAATCGAAAGATTCGGGAAATGGGAAGACCAGTAAAGGCAAGATAATGTGCAGATGGGCAAATGAATAATGAAAGGGTAACGGGGTAGCAGGGGAGCAAGGAAAGGGAATGCCCCTCAGAATAGGACTCCAACTGGGTGCCCTATACTTATCATCATTCGAGGCGTGGTAACTGACGGGGAAAGCTCAACCTGAGATGAATCTAGGCTGACCCGAACAGTGGCATGTAATAACCCGTGCTCATCTAGCGTAGATGTATCATCATCGCCGGGGTTGATAAGCAGAGGGGTTATAGAAGAAGAAAAGTCACCTGCTCTCAGAAGACCAGGCACGCAAGTCCCTGGAAAGAAATCATCATCGAGCAGGTTCAGAGACGAGTGGCTTTGAAAATAGACTCAAACTTACCTGACTGGAGGAAGTCTCCAACAGGGTGTCTCTGGGTGACGGCTGAAAGCCAGATAGGGGGGTCTTACAGTGGGCAGCCTTAGGCGGTGGTGCGTATGGGCTTTGTTGCATATGGGCAGTGTCGCATATGGGCGTAGCCGCCTAAGGAAAGATGGGCGTAGACAGATGGGTGGGCAGAGAGCGATGAGTAGGCGAGGTTGAGGAAAGAAGAGAGCTGGGATCGAGAGGGGGGGAAGGCGGATTATAAGGGAGGGAAAGCGGAGGGGGAAGGGAGAATGTGCGAGACCAAGCGGAGCGAGAGGCAGGAAGTGAATGGGGACAAAGGAACAGGGCAAAGTGATGGAGCAAGTGATGGGGGTAAAGTGATGGAGGTGAGGTGAGGTGAAGTGAAGGGAGTGGGTGAAGGTCTTCCCCCGGGGGAAGTGGTGTTACCGTCACCGTCTACGCCTGGTGTACAGTTAAGTTGGTGGGAAAGTAAAGAAGCATTATATAGTCTCCTGAGCAGTAGGGAAGGCGGCATGTTCAGCTTGTGTTTCACCATGCGAAAGGGGAACTCCGTGGCACTCGATATGTGCAACGAGGCAACTCCCGAGAATTATACCAGATGACATTGGGACAAACCGATAGCAGGCTGCGATGAAGGAAAATGCCGATATTCACTGAACATGATCGAACTAGGCAACACAGCCATAGCTACCTTGTATGTACATGCGTACACCTAGTTGCTGTTCCTTTTGGGCATTGGCAGAATTCTAGACCTACTACTGTAGGGACAAAATTCCCAGTCAACAGTTCATCTATGTGTCACTAGATGATTGAATATAGTAGAGAATTTGTCATAAAAGCTTCAATATGGTCGTGTAGAATATATCTTGATTCCAGAGATCTTCTTCTATCAACACCCAGCATAGAGACGATGAAGGAAAGAGATATAAACGAGTAGATTCACTTTTCAATCCTTTCATTATCTTTCTACTGGGTATGAATTTAGGATAACCTTTCACCTTTCCTTCAGCACAACTATAATACAGGTGACCGTGATATTCAATAGTACCTATCCACTGATGTGTGCAAGTCAACAGAATAGATGGAGAAAAACCATCAGATGCCTCTCCAGTACCAGAGCATCGAGGCCCTCTTTATATAGTTTACTAGTCTGTGAGAATGGGTCGTTGCCATGTAGGCAAGACCGGAAGGCATCACCGACAAGAATTGGAATTTTCCATCATCTATAGCATAGTTGTCAGCCCAAGACTACATCTACACGGCACAAGCCAAGTCAAGTCAACAGCTACGGCCGTGGTTACGGTGTCGGGAAAGACCCGGATTCAGGCTCGGAACGCACACGCTACTCCATTGTGTCTTTTCCCTCGTCACCGTCTCTATAGCGAGTTACTTTTTGTACACCGGAAGATAAAGCAAGGTCCAACGCCGTCCCAGTCAATTCTTTGCATTCTTTAACCCCCATCCCTTGTCCTAATCCAGCCAATTTGCATGAACGATGTCCCAACCGAACCCAAAGAAGTAGTACAGGAAGCGGAAAGTATGCAAGGTAGATGAGAGCAAGAGAGATCATGGAAAGGTTTTCATCAGACACCGAATCGAGAAGGGGCAAAAGCCGGAGAGCAAAGGAGAAGAGGTGGCGTAGGAAAAAAAGACGTCTGAATATAATAGGAAGACACTGGCAAATGTCGTAAAACCGTGAACAAGCAACATAAGTAAAAATAAAACAAAGCGATAACGTTTTTTTCCATTCAATACATCATGAGCGCAACCCTGCAGAAAAGATCAACCAAAGATGTAAAACCAGCCAAGCTCTCATTGAGAGTAAAGATTACACACGTGAGAGTGACAGAGGGGGGAAAAAGTGTTAACAAGTGAATATAAGAGGAGATAGGTTTTCAATCCAGGGCTTGCCGCGCCCGAGGTAAAAGAGAAAAAGAAACGAGCCAATAGGAATCCCATCACCCGGAAAAGATGCAACGCCATAAGCCTTTAGTGACCGTAATTGCCTCCCCAGCCTCCACGTCCAGAGTTTCCGTAGTAGTTAGCGAAACCCGCGCCGCCGTAGTTACCGTATCCAGTGGGTTGGTGGTGGGTCTGGCTGGCTGCAGCCTGATGGCCGCCCAGGGCACCCAATCCACCATACTGAGGGTTCAGGTGAGGGTAGCCACCGAATCCCTGCTGACCCTGCTGGCCCTGCAGCGGGGGAAGGCCGGTTTGGGCCTGAGGCTGACCAGGGGCGCTGTTGGTTGCGGAACCGGGACGGTTAGCCTGGGCAAGAGAAGGGCTGGGCCCCGCAGCCTTCGGGGTATCGAAGCTCTTCGTCTCCTCCGTGGTCACCGGAGGCTGCTGGGTGATCGGCTGGTTCTGTCCGAAGCCGCCTTGAGTGCGACCGAAGACGTCCGACATGCCAGTTGCGAAGGCATTGGATCCAGCGGCTGCCGACTGCTGAGTCTCGGATGGCTGGGCGGATCCAGTGCGGCCGTAGACCGAGTCACGACCGGGAATGGCCTGGTTGAAGGTGGCCGCTGTCGCGGGCGACGACGAGTGGTCATAAGAGAAGGCGTGAGGCTGACCATACATTCCAGCCTTTCCGTACGGGCCATATTGGCTGCCGTAACCATATTGAGTGCTGTGAGGAAGGTAGTGGTCATCATATCTCCGGGCATCATCGTACATCGGGCGGTTCCTGCCGTACTGGTTCATCTGGCCAATGTACGAAGCATAGTGAGGGTTGGAGTAGTACGGGTATCCGTATCCGTAGCTGTGAGCGCCCTGGCCAGGCATGTGCTGAGCCGTAGGGGTCTGAGTAGCGCCAGGAAGGGTGGGGTTAGGAGTGGTGTGGCCACTGTTGGGAGCTTCAACATGGCCATAGCGGCTAGGAGGCTGAGTGGTAGGAATATGCGGTTGCACTTCGGCGCCAGAAACACCAAATCCTGCTCTCTGGGCAGCGACCGTGGCATCTTGAGACTGACCGTATGTGCCGTAGTAGTTGTAAGGAAGACGTTGGTCGACGGCATAGAACGGAGAATACTCGCTACCGGTCGTGACGGTAGGCTGGACAGGAGCTTGGTTGGCAAATGGCTCCTGGATCTGAGGTTGAGGCTGCGTGACCTGCTGGGTGAAGGGGTCGTAGGGCTTATGAGCGTCGGTGTAGCGGGCGAAATCAGTGAAAGAGTTTTCAGCGGCAGAGACCTGGGGCACGGGAGGAAGTCCCGGGGCCGGGCGAGAGACTGCAGGGGTTTCAGTAGGAACCTGAGTCTGCGTGGAAGGAGGCAACGAGGCTCGAGGAGCAACAGGGGAGTGTTGAGGGGGCTGAGCACGGGTCTCAGCTTCTTCTCTGTTCTCATCAATGTCAACATCGGCGGCATCTCCGTTCAATCCCATGCTACCAAATTGGACTGCAGCACGATCCACAGCATGGTTTCCTGGCATGACCACAGCCTCCTGTTGTTCCATCACACGACGTTGAGTGCCAGGGGTGCGTGTGCTCTGCTTGAAGGCACTCGAGGGGTAAGTTCCAGGAGCAGCGCGGGTGGGAGTGGCAGCCGCTGCAAGATGAGTAGTGTCAAGGGCACTGCCCACGGTGCTAGCTGCGGTAGCCGTGGGAGCAGGAGGAGAGACATCGGGGATCTGGGCAAGGTTGTTCTTCGTCAAATCATCCTTCGGAGCGGGGACATCAGCGGAAGATGGAGTAGCTACAGGAGCTTCTTCTGCGGTCGGTTGAGGTTGAGGAACAGCGGGTTCGGGTGCTTTTTCGGCAGGGACAGGAACGGGGATAGGAATTGGGACGGGAACAGGAGCCTGGGCGGGAGCCGGGGCTGGGGCAGGAGCTGGTGCGGGTTCAGCTGGCTTCTGCTCCGTTACAGGCGCAGCAGCAGGCTTCTCGGGGGCAGGGGCAGGGGCAGCGGTGGTAGCAGGAGCGGCAGCAGGAGCAGGAGCAGGAGCAGGAGCGGCAGGTTTCTTCTGAGGCGGCGGCGGCGCCGGTTTGGCAAACAAGCTAGCCCAACCCTTCTTTGTGCCCTCCGGGATCACACTGCTCTTGGGTGCCTCCTTAGCGCTGTCGTCAACAGTTTCTGCAGCAGCTGGCTCGGCATCGATGGTCTTTTCGGACTTGATAGCCGCGGCAGGCTCAGGAGCAGTCGTAGTCGTAGCTGTGGTCTCCTCGACAGAAGTGGCGACAGCTGGCTTCTCCGTGCGAGTTCCATTGGTATGAGCACCGGCCCGACCACCACGACCTCCACGACCACGGTCACCACGGGCGCGACCACGACTTTCAAAGCCACCACGGCCGCGACCTCGAACCGAGGGGGCGACTGTCTCGACAGGAGTGCTCTGTACCTCCTTGGTCTTAGGGCGGCTGCGGTCCGTAGTCTTCTTCTTTACCTCGCCCCATTGAGCGACATTGCCTGTGCGAATAGAAGCAGCAGCGTCAGCAAAACCCAGAAGCACTGAGCTATCCCAAGTAGCAGTAGGGAACCATACCTTCACTAATGCGATCAATTGCCTCCTCAAGGTCACCATTTGCATCCTCCAGAGCGAAGACCAGATCCTCATCAGTCCAATCAGAGAACAGCTCCTTCAGCATGGGCAGAGTATCCGAGTATTTCTTCTTCATCTGGCCAAGTTCTCCCTCGTCTTCAAATGCGGTGGGTGCGCCGTCTGAGTTGTCTGCCTTTGTGGATCTGCTACCACCTCGACCACCTCTGGAGCTATAGCCGCCACGGCCACCACGGGCAGATACCCTGCCACGAGAGGCAGAAGGCCTTGTTTGAACTTCAGACATATCTGTTGATGGTATTTATGGTTCTCCCGTATGGAGAAATAAGATGAAGGAATCGGAGAGGACCCAACGTGGACGAAGGGAGGAAATCAAGGTGCGGCTAGTGGGAAGAAAAAGCGGGTAAAAAGGTCGTAACTTAGTACGGTAGCAATGATGAGATGCAGCCTCACGAGAGAGGTCAGCACCAGAACCACTAAGGGCACACAAGGGCCGCCGGGATTTTGTTTTGGGAGGGAGGAAAGAGGAGAAGAAAGAGACCGAAAGAGTCGAGAGATAGAAAAAGGATGCAAAAGACACAAGAAAAGATAAAAAGGAAATAATAATTAGAGGTGAAGGGGGAGGAGGTGCAGAAAGTTTAGTAGGGAAAGACTACTACTTAGCAGCAGATCGAGTTCATTGAATGGATGGGGTTCGAGGTGTGGATGGGACGGAAGGGGAAGAGAAGGCGACTTTCGGTCGGTCGCGTTGGTTGCCCGCGCCCCGTTTTTAGCGAGCATGCGGTCCTGGGCAGTGTTACCTGCTTTACCTTACCGCGTCCAATTTACCACCCATCATTGGGATAGTACTACTTACTTTTACTTTGCCAACTGACTTCTTGCTTAGCTACAGTGCTACTGGTGCGATTGCAGGAAATGTGATTGAAGATGATGGTCCCAGATGGTACTTCTCTTTTTAGTGAGGTAGAGCTGCTCTACCAATCGGTATGTTACTTACCTCGTACCACCTCGCCTGATGGGCGTTCCGAGTCTTTGGGTTCGCTCTGTCGATGATTTCGTCATCACTACTCCGTACTATTCCTAGTATTATGACGATGGCATTGTGGAAATCATACGAGCCAGGATGGTTCTTTCAAATTCGTGGCGGACCGGCACCTGCCATTCTGTATATCCTACATCTGTTGAAATTCCGACTGGTCGACCAGTCAACTCCAATTGAGGGATAGATCATCTTCAGCTCCCTTCCTTTTCACAGCCAGGCTGATCGCGTGGTGAGGTGGCACCGGCAGCCCTTACTCACCGCCCGTCGTTTCGGGCCAAACTCACTCGTGACTTGCTGGATAAGGCGCAGCCCGGGACTTGTTCCCAGCAGAAGGGGCCCAGCCAGTATCGACAGCCTTCGTTTACCATTATCTAGCTACTTTTTGCGACAGGCGCCGCGTGTGTGACCATTCTTCCATTATGAGGGCCACCCCGGCCGTCAAATACCCTTGGTCTAAATTGCATCTTCCGCTCCCCCGTACCCCTCGTCAGTCCGAGCAGCTCCTCAATGCCATCACATCCTCCTTCCGTCGTCAGCTCGATCGTGAATATCCGACCAACAACCCTTCTACATCCGACCGTAATGAAACTTCTGCCGAGAATTCATCAGAAAACCCCCATTCGTCTGCTCATGCGACGGATAGGCTTCTCCACAACATCCTGGACAACCCGCTTTTCCGGGTAGCCCCATCGGCGTCTCCCATCTCCAGTAATGCGTCAGGCATGCGCGATGCCAAACAACGAAGAATGTTGACAGAGCCTATGGTGGTATTCGACGAATTGGCGGCGGCAGGACATGTCACTAAAGGCGACCTTCTACAATGCTTGCAGTATCAGTTAATGCTTGCAAGAGGTACCGGCGATGATTTTGTCAAGGCCATGAAAGATTCCAGAGCAGGGACCAAAGTTGTCAATTGGTGGCTTGCATCAGGTTGGCGAGATCGGTTAAAGATATTTGATCATCGACAGACGTCTGCCACCTTGGTGAAGTTCATGGTTGCGGAGGGCATGCAAGATACTGTTCTGCTATGGTTGAAAATGTTGGCCAATACTGATCTTCGGGCCTTCAACGGCCATATCAGCCGAAGCCTCGCCGAGCGTGTTGCTAGAAACCTTTTGACCGATTTTTTGGCCGCTGAGAATCAATATGGGGGTGGCTTGGCCTCCGCTATGCGGTACTACGTCCAGGTAGGAGATATGTATTTCTCCATGGAGGATCTGCATAACAGACGTGACACGAAAAACCTTCTTCGACATGCCGGTAAATACCTGTTTCAGCAGGTCAGTCGGGAAGTACCAAATGATAAAAATATGGTTTCTGCAACTGTTTATGAAGAATACGCCAGGGTGATCGCTACGGTGTGTACGGACTTTGTCACTGCCTCGGTGGCTCTCTACCATCCCACAGTACCCGATCCGAAACCCTTTCTTCGGTATGTGTATAATAAGGATATGCCAACTTTGCAGACGTGGCCGGCAGGCCTACGAGAGGTATTTGTGCGCAGTGGCTCGGTCGCGCTCCGTCTTTTGATGGACCAGGGGAAGCGGGGAGATGCCACATGGTTGGCAGGTATCCTGCAGCACGTGTCAGACACAGATAAGGCGAAGGTCGAGCATGAAGCATCCGCAGATGAAAAGGCTTTGCTCTCTCGACTACTCCGAGTAGACATGGCGTGGACCTGATTGATGTAATTATTCTTCTACAGCATTTGTGGAATAATTTGCGAAAAGTCTCCATGCAATGCAGCTCCTTAACTGGGCTAATTTGCGTCACGGATCCTAACGGAAGCGCGCAGATCGATGGGATGAGATTCGTCGGCCATGTTTTGCCGTCAGCCAGCCAGCAGCATTGTCATTGCGACAGTCACACCAAAACACCAACCCCCCCGACATTAATACTCCGCATCGGACTCCACTCCTGCCGCTAAGGGATGCTTTCTCCTCTTCTTGGCGTGCTTACCTCCAACGACAACCCCGGTGCAACTAGGGCTTATCTCTCCCCCCTCGGACTGAGCATCGGTGCAATTCTTAGTGGTTCTTTTCATTTCTTGATCTAGAATGGAAGAGGGGACAGCCGAGATTGAGTTCCGCGTGAATCGGGTTAGCGCCCCTGATCGTGCCTTAGTAAACATCACGGCGCAACCTCACCTCGTCTTCTTCTCGGACCTTCTCCCAACAACCGCTTCGTCTGAACAGATGATCTTCGGCTACTACTTCGGGCATTAATCGGGATACTAGTCGCATATCATTTGCGATCACAAGATTCGCAGACAAGCCGGGATACCATTGACGAAACCCCATAATTTCCCGCATTATCTAATAACTGCGGGCAGTTATGGCTTCCGAACCCAGCAATATTTCCAACAAATTATCAGGTATGTTAAGGACTGGCTTTCTATACCTCTCGTCTTGTGGTCGCCCCTTGCCAAGCCTTGTTATATACTTCAGACTGATATGCTGACAATTCAGAAGAACAAAAGCCAACAAATGGCGCCAATCTCCCAGCGCAGCCATCCGGCGCAACTGAGCCTGCCGAGGAGAGCAAGCCTACTTCAGACATCAAGACCCTTAATGAAGTGAAATCTACCGATGAGACGAAACCCCACTCACAGGTTCCCACATCTGCAGATACAGCTCCCAAGGAATCTGTTACCGAGTCGAATGTGGGTGAAAAGCGGGAGCACGAAGTAATACCCACGACAGTGGAAGCGGCTAAAACTGGCGCCGATGATGCAACAGAGCCTGCAACCAAGAAGAAGAAGAAGAATGATGCGGAGAAGAACGGGCCAAAGACCGTTCCATCAGTTCCTACGACTGCGAAGCACACCAAGAAAGGCCAAACTACAAATGGGGACAAGAAGAAGTATGGGCGATCGAAAGTCGCAAAGGAGCCTGCCAAAAGAGACCCTCCCATGGATGGAATTAGTAGTCGAACTCGCAGTCGCACTAAGGTTGCTCCTTGAACCGTCTAATCGTTTGTCTCAATGACGTTAGTAGCGGGCTTTCACCAAGATGGCACTTGTCGGGAAATAGTTGGAGGTTAGGGCACCGCTTGTGTACGAGACAATCATTTGCCTCGAATAGCTGAATACGAATTTGATAAGTATGATAAGCCGAACGATTCTCTATGCCATCGAAAACAGCCCTATCGTAGCCATGTCTACCACTTCTATTAACTATAAGCCGTTTCTAGGGCTGACGTCTCGTAATCGCGGTATCACAAATCGCCGAAATCGGCGATGACAGTGCACGCTGAGTCACATTCCGGGACGGAACAACCACTCTTCTTCCCCGCTATCACCAGAGGGGCAAGTCTGTGTCATAGGTCCAGCAGCAATAGCATTAATTTCTCGTCGAGAAAGCTAAAATTTCTGATTCTGAACATCTACTCTCTGCAGATAACAACCAATTGTCATATTATAACCATGTCTTCCAACAAGATCTGGCTGCGTGCCGAGACCAAGCCCGCCGAGGCTCGGTCTGCCTGTGAGCATTAGACCTCAAGCCAATTGCACATTACTCTGGGATGCTGATATGCTGCAGTGACACCGACTACCTGCAAGGCTCTTATGGATGCTGGATATGAAGTGACTGTTGAGCGCTCTACCCAACGGATTTTTGATGGTAAGAGTGACTTCCTATATCACAATCACAATGACGTTTAGGGGTACACTGCGGCTGGTTAGCAGGTGTATCCCTTAATGTTTGCCATCTCTACACTCGGTTTTCAGAACCAGTCTAACACGTCTATTTCTTTCTAGACGAAGATTTTGCGAAGGTATGTGTGTAGAAGCACGTCGCCCTTTCGTCCGTACGAAATCTCACCTCTCCATCTTACAGATTGGCGCACCGCTGGTGGAGGAAGGCTCCTGGGTGAAGGATGCCCCTAAGGATGCCTACATTCTGGGTCTCAAGGAGCTCCCTGAGGATGATTTCCCCCTTGAACACGTTCACATCTCCTTTGCCCACTGCTACAAGCAGCAGGGTGGCTGGGAGCAGGTACTCAGCCGTTGGCCTCGGGGAGGTGGTACTCTCTTGGATCTTGAATTCCTTACCGATGATGTTGGTCGGAGAGTCGCTGGTAAGGACTATGCTTTAAATGTGTCCCATTACAGCAGCTGATATTATGCCTTAGCTTTCGGTTGGACTGCTGGTTATGCAGGTTCCGCTTTGGCAGTCAAGAACTGGGCTTGGCAGTTGACGCACCCTGAGGGCGAGCCTTTGCCCGGAGAGGTCCCGTACATTAACCAAGATGCCCTGATCGAATCGGTCAAGAAGTCCCTCGAGGATGGTAAGAAGCAGTCTGGCCGCTCTCCCAAGATTCTTGTCATTGGCGCCGTGAGTTACCCGTCTTGTCTCATACGGCAACACTTCTGACAATTTCACAGCTCGGCCGTTGTGGTAGTGGTGCTGTGCAGCTCGCCAAGGACGTGGGTATTCCCGACTCCGACATCGTTCGGTGGGATATTGAGGAAACCAAGAAGGGTCAGTTGTGTTTAGCTTTTTGTCGTTATCGTGCACTAACATCAATTGCAGGCGGTCCTTTCAGGGAAATCGTCGAGGATGTCGATATTCTCGTCAATTGCATTTACCTCAGCGCACAGATCCCACCCTTCGTCACTCCAGAGACCCTCACTTCACCGAAACGCCGTTTGTCGGTCATCTGCGATGTGAGCGCTGATACGTAAGGCTCCTATTCTCCAACCTTGAGGATTCCGCTGACCATTGTATGACCTCTCACCGATAGTACCAACCCCCACAACCCTCTCCCTGTGTATTCTATCACTACTACCTTTGATAAGCCTACTGTTCCCGTCACATTGGCAGGTGGAAACCAGGTCGCTGGCCTGAGTGTGATCAGCATCGATCACCTTCCGTCTCTTCTGCCCCGCGAGAGCTCGGAGATGTTCAGCCAAGCCTTGCTCCCCAGCTTGCTCCAGCTGAAGGACCGGCAAAACGCCCGCGTCTGGAAGCAGGCTGAGGATCTTTTCAATGAAAAGGTTGCTACGCTGCCCGAGTCCCTGCGGGCCTAAATGATGCACTTCTCTGAAATCAGGCTGGCTTCTGAAAAAAGGATTTTTGCGTGTATTATGGTTACCGATTGATACGATGCTTTCCTGAAAATCTCGATGGTTTATGGATGTTAGCATGTTATGATATGAGACTATTGATTAGAATAGAGGCAACAAAAAGTGTTGTTAGAGTAGAATCATGTACTATGGAGTAAGCACCCACAGAGTGAAAAGTGCTAGTATTTCGCGTGGTAGATTTCCTTTGTTTCGTGACTCGGGCTGAGGCGGAGGCTCAGGCAAATAGAACATTCGAGTGCCCCTCCCCCTTCTCACCCCGATCACACCGGGCACCCCCGCACATCATTGTCTCTCGTGGGGTTCGATCGGAGTTCGTGCTCTTCATCCTAACTTGCCATGTACTCGCAGTGGTTGTCAGCTTGATAATACGCTTGCTTCGTTACACTGAGCCTCGCCATGCATGCTATTACAGGAGGCAGCAAGGGATCCGCGTGCTCTATCGACAGGAGTGAGCCCTTCCAAGCTTGCAACCATCCCAGTCTTCTAAGACTACAGCTTTGCGGACTTCGAGGACTCCCACTGGGAACTTTTCGTTGATCCTCAGATCTGCGGAATAGTTGATCCATAGTGAAATCCAAAAAAGTAATGTGGGGATCATGAACCGCTGTGGGAAACGCCGATGTCTCCCGTCGGTGCGCTGAGCATGGCGGGTGCTCGGCGCTGAGAAACATCCGAGAATACCAAGGAAAACAGAGAAGCAGCCCTGCTACCGCCCATCCAACGAGAAGTCATCCATTGCGGCTACCGCGTCGAACAGGTTCGTCGAATATTCTCGTGTTTGGCATGCACCGGAGTGGGATACCAGCCGCCTCATTACTCTATTTTGGTGAGAACGCTGTCATTGGCGGCCCCCCTCCTGTCTACCTGAAATTACCCCATGCCCTCTCCACACCCTCGGTTGTATGGGGGAACTGCTGCTGACGGTTATCCCGCTCTTAGCCATCGACAACTGATAAATCTCCCCTCTGATCCCATGGATCCCTGAAGCCTGTGTATATGTGAAAGGATACAAGTGCAGGAGGGAAAATTTCGGCTTGGCTCGTCTTCTTGGCACCGGAGTTCCGTGTCTGTTTGAACTACGCAGCTTCATGGCACATCTTTCGATGGATCAACCATAGCATTGACGTCGACGACCGCTTCTCTCCGAATCCCAATCCTCCTCTCCTCAGCTACACCGTCTGGCACGTATAAGGTGCGATGCAGGAAAAATCGAGCACTGTCGCCGCTTACGCGGCCGGAGCATCTCTTGCGGCTATTGCTCTATTCTACGTCTTCGGCCCCAACTACACTATCGATGGAGACGAGTCACAGGACAGTTCCCGCAAGAAAAACATTGTTGGCTTGTCCAACCCCGCCAATGACTGCTTCATCAACTCGGTGCTGCAGGCTCTTGCAGGGCTCGGTGATCTGCGTGTCTACCTGATCAGAGAGCTCCACAAGCGTGAACTAGACGGTTCTGATATATATAATGAACTTCCTCCACCGGCTGATATGCCTCGGGATGCGAAGCCGGACAGGATAAGGGAATTGCAACAGGGGAGTATTACCAGAGCTCTCAAGGAGATGCTCGACCGACTGAACGAACGTCCGATCTACAAGAAAACCATCTCCGCGCGACCCTTCATCCAGTCTCTTGAGTACGCCTATCGGACGCGGATCAGCCGTAGCCAGCAAGATGCGCAGGAGTTCTTGCAGATTGTCGCAGAAAGACTTTGCGATGAGTACCATGCCGGCGTGAAAGCACGACTACGAGCGAAGGCCATACCAGAGTTGTCGTCAGGCCCGGAGGCGGTAGAATCAGGCGATGAATCTTCTCCCAAAGTCCCTGCGGAAGTTGAGGTGCGGATTGATGACGGATCTGAGAACGGCTTACCCGCTATTATCGACAATAAACTCAAAGAAATCGACCATGAGTACGGCTTCCCTTTCGAAGGAAAGCTCGAGTCCCAGATCGAGTGCCTGTTTTGCCACTATCAATACCAGCCTAATCAGACCTCCTTTGTAAATCTGACCTTGCAAGTGCCTCAAAAGAGCTCTACCACGCTTAGCGCCTGCTTTGACGGTTTACTCAAAACTGAATACATTGAAGACTTCAAATGCGACAAATGTCGGTTGCAGCATGCTCTTGAGTTCAAGACGCAGGAATTGCACCGGACCCGCTCCAAAGATGACCGAGCTAGGTTTGAGGCAGAAATCGAGCGAATCAAGACGGCCCTCGCTACAAACCCAGAAGGTCCTTTAGAGGGTGTAATCTTGCCACCTTCTGACCTCGCCCCTAAACGAAAGATTGCGAGACATATGCGGATAACGGCCTTTCCCAAAATCATTGCCATTCATCTTTCGCGATCGATCTTTGACCACAGCAGCTCTACCAAGAATGCAGCCAAAGTATCTTTTCCGGAGCGGCTGCCGCTCGGTGGTATCCTGAGCCGAGAATGGTACAGGCTGCTGGCAATTGTCTGTCATAAAGGCAGCCACCATAGTGGACATTACGAGTCATTCCGACGCAATCATCTTTATCCACCCTTCTCAACGCCAGACGTATTCAGCTCGTACGCTCAGAGTCGGGCAACTAGCGAAAACCCATCCGAAGCGCCTAGCCCTCAGCTAAAGGCTCGCAACTCGTTGGAGAGCGAACCGGCGCCCCTCAGCATCTCGACATCGATAGGGTCACCGACCAGTCCCTCTCAACTGCAACCGCCCCCGTCACCGACTCCGCGACCGACATCGAGCCCACGGGTTTCTTTCCAGAGCACTCGTTCGAAGTCGTCAGCATCGAAGCAAAACCTATCGCCTGTGTCAGACCCGCATAGCTCATCCTCCACAGAGGGTGGGCGCTGGAGCAAGTCATTTTCGCGCGCGTCGTTCACCAGCGATCGCAGTACGCCAGCAACTTCGGTTGAAGCTTCAGGCTCCAGCAGTCGGCTCCGTCGACGCCGTAAGCAGAACGATCGATGGTGGCGTGTCTCGGACGAGAAAGTCAAAGAATGCAAGACTTCCGATGTTTTGGGGATGCAGCGAGAGGTCTACCTCTTGTTCTATGAGATTGAGAAGCCCACGCCTGGCGCGTAAGCGGCCTTCAATATCACTTTTGGTTTTTTTTCTTTTGCATATAGGAGAGAAAAGGAACGATCGCGTACTGGATAGATAGAGGAGTACCTCGGGGGTTTATACAAGCCCATTTCACCGACCCATGTAAGGAGCCTTCTCGCGCAGCGGCTCAGGAATGACAGTTATGCACAAGGAACATCAAAACCATATTAGACAGTACACAATACTAGACACATGCACGAGTCCTACTTTTGCGAGATAGTAAAACCCCCGTTCACATCACGGAAATCCCCATCCTACTACTATCTAGTAACACTCAGATTCCCGCGTCCCCTGACTGTCATACGACGGACACGACCACTAATGCAGTGCGCCCCTTGAAAAACAGGGAACCCAATCACCTCATCACCGCCTTAGTCAGTGCAGGGAGCCCCCGGGACCGCCTCCCGTCCCAACAACACTCCCTGATTGGAGCGCACAACACTTTTCTGTTCCAGGTTCCGAATATCCCTGCCATCATTTCAATATTTATTATTGTTTATTCTGGTGTTACTACTATTGATTTTCTCCAGCACCGCATAATCTCACCGACCTAATTACCGCAACCCTTATCGCAAATTTTTCTTTTCTCCATTCTCTCTCTCTTATACTTAGTCAATTTACTCTGCCTACTTACCAATCCCTCTATCAATTCGGGTGTAGGCATCGCATACTAGACCCCATAACAAAAAAAAAAAAAGGCGAAACTAAAATCACCACAACACAATGCCTCCCAAACGCGCAGCATCTAGCGCCTCAAAGGCCAAAACCGAGACTGCCTCGAAGGCTGCTGCCGACAAGGTGAAGAAGACCGCAAGCACCAGCGCGAGCGCGAAACCTCAGGCTTCGAGGAAGCGTAAGGCTGCAGACTCTGTGGAGGAGACGACAACGTCAGGGGCTGCCCCGGCGGCGCCGGCGCGGGTGACCAAGAAGCAGAAGGGTGAGTTCAATTGATCAGTTGCGTTGCGAATTGGTGATTTGCTTTGTTTGGGGGATGTTTTTCGCGTGTTGGATGATGCTGTTCCGCGGAATGTTGGGCTAACGGGTATTTGTTACGTTGTGGCAGAAGCTCTGGCCGTCATCAACCACGCGCCTACTCAGCGCCTCGATGTGTATGTCTTCGGAACGAATTGCTATGGTGAATTGGGTCTTGGAGATGCGACGAAAAAGTCTGAGATCCCTGGTCCGGTCCTGAACCCGAAGCTGCCCGCGGAGTCGGTTGGTGTGGTGCAGTTGGCTATCGGTGGTGTGCACTCGGCTGCTCTTACGCATGATAACAAGATTCTTACATGGGGCGTCAATGATGAGGGTACGCTGGGTAGGGATACAAAGGAGGAGCGCAAGGTGGAGGAGAACGGTGATGGCGTGAATGGCGATGATGCCAAGGAGGAGTCGGACTCGGACTCTGATGATGATGAGGTTGACCTCAATATGAAGGAGGCGACCCCTACGGCTGTGGACTCTGCTCTCTTCCCTGAGGGTACTGTCTTCACGCAGATTACTGCGACGGATAGTGCCACGTTCGCTCTCACCCAGGAGGGACGAGTCTATGGTTGGGGTACATTCAGAGTGAGTTGCCTCGCTTATTCTCGAGTCATTGTTACTTTGACCTAACGTCGAACAGGGAAGCAACGGTGTGATCGGGTTTTCTCCCGAGACGAAGATTCAACGACAGCCAGTCCTGGTTCCCGGTCTTGAGAAAGTGACACACCTTGCGTCTGGCGCGCAACACGTCCTGGCGCTGACGGCGAAGGGCGCTGTTTTGACCTGGGGTTGTGAGGAACAGAACCAGCTTGGTCGGAGAATCTCTGGACGTCTGCATGGCAAGCTCGAGAGTCTCATCCCGGGACAGTGCGCGCTTCCGTCGGATGTCGTGAGCATCGGAACGGGTTCCTACCACTCCTTTGCTGTTCGCAAGAACGGTCGGGTGCACGCTTGGGGTTCTAATAACTTCGGTCAGACGGCCGTCCCGATGAGCGCTGGAGAAAGCGATGCCGTCGTCCTCTACCCGACGGAAGTCAAGTCTTTCCGCAAGCACGGCAAGATTGTCTCTATCTGCGGTGGAAAGGACCACAGTGTGGCTGTCACCGAAGACGGAAAGTGCCTTTCCTGGGGACGCGTGGATAATAAGGCTCTTGGTATCCCGCTGGCGGACATGCCATCGGATGAACTCGTGCACGATGAGCATGGACGTCCCCGTATCCTGACGGTTCCAACTCCCCTCACCGATATCAAGGAGGAGGTTGTCTTCGCAACCGCCTCCAGTGATCACTCCTTTGCTATCACCAAAGACGGTCAGGCGTATAGCTGGGGTTTCAACGTACAGCGTCAGGCCGGACACCGCGATGTGGATGAGGTTGAACGACCAACCCTCCTCCAAAACAAGCACGTCAACGGAAAGAAGCTGGTTGCTGCTGCAGGAGGAGGCCAGTTCAGTATGCTCGTTGGAGCTTACTCGCCGCAAGTGAACGGAACCGATGCTTGATATTTTCTTTTTGATGCGATTTTCTGCAATAGTTCTGTTACCCATTTGAATTGAGCTCTATGTATTATTATGTGACAGTAGTTACACTCCAATCACGAGACTTTCTAGCGATTGCGCTCCTAGCAGAAAGTGGATACTGACTATGCGTAGACACTACAGACAGATAGCTGCTTCGAAGTCGTTGGCGTCAATTCTCCTCGGGCCTCGAACAATCTTGACTAGCCAGCCAGTCATCCGGTCTATGCAGGTTGAGCGTTTCGCCGGTGGTTATCCGGTTTTAGGCCCGGAATACTACAAGGTCGAGGGCATCCCCAACCCGGGGCTACCCAAGGCTCCACATATCGGCGGAAGAGCACCCCCTCTTTATCTTATTTTCAGATCAGCTGGACCGGGGAAGCACAGTCTAGGCCGTGACCGGCAGAAAAGCAACGAAGTGGTTGGAACATCCTGCAACGAGAACGGAGGAAAATTCCCGCTGATTTCTCCGGTGCTGGATGAAGCACGAAAGAATTACGGAGAGAACTGGGTCAATGTTTTCGCAGGTAGCCGAAGTGGTTGTCCAGTGCAACCGGTTGACCATTGATCACAGAGAGGGATGATGTTACCATCTATACTCCTATATCCAGACCCTGAGAAACTACGTACCCCTGCTGTCTAGGTGTAAGGCGGAGTACAGTATCCACCCTTTCGAGCAAGACCAGCAATAATACTTGTTAGCCAACCTGCTGCTTGATTCCTGGACGAGAGAATGTCGGACCGAAGGCAAGGAAGCCTGAATGATGTCATGTGATGGGCGCGGGGATTCCCGGGAGACTAAGCAGCCTGAGGCAGCCAGCAGCGTCATTGCGGGCTTCCGAATGAACCCCACCATAGCAGGCAGGGAAGGGAACAAGATGGAAGCATCATCATAGCCTCGGACTAGATTTGTCCGGTGTTGTAGACTTAAAAAGATTTCTACAAGGTCCAGGATTGAAGTTCGAAATTCTTTCCTTTTCGCCCCTTTTTCTTCTACCCCTTCTTGATCTACAATCTTCACTAGCATCACCACGAACAGTGCTCTCCCGTGGAACCCCAACCGGTCACTGAAATCATACTGAACACATCATTCCCCACCACCCGGTGAGTCCTTCGAGTACCGTTGGCCCCTCCATGTCCCAAGTTCCCCCCCTCCTGGTCCTTCGTTGCCCCTCCTTGCCCGTGCTCGTCATTTAAACGTCCAGCTCCGTATTCGTCGCTCGGTAAAGCTTTTAGTCCTCTGCCACAGAATTTATTTGGTCCCTCTGTCTCGCTCCTCCTGCTGTTGTCCTCTTCTCTCTTCTCCATCCATCAAGCAATCAATTACTCATCAATCTACCTCCCTTAGTCCTCATTTACAAACAATCACAATGGGTGTCCTTGAGCAGCTCTCCCGCAAGTCCGGTGTCATCGTCGGTGATGACGTTCTCCGTCTCTTCGAGTACGCCAAGGAGAAGGGCTTTGCTATCCCCGCCATTGTAGGTCTCACCACCCCTCAATTCCATCCCGAAAAAGAGACCAGAGTGACTAACAGCTGCCCCATCGCATCAGAACGTGACTTCCTCCTCCACCGTCGTCTCTTGCCTTGAGGCTGCTCGCGACCAGAAGTGCCCCATCGTCCTCCAGGTTTCCCAGGGTGGTGCTGCCTACTTCGCTGGAAAGGTATGCTTAGAAACATTACTGACCCATAGGTGCTCCTTTGAAGCCAAAAAACAGGCACTGACTGTTCATGATAGGGTGTCAGCAACGATGGTCAGAAGGCCTCCATTGCCGGTGGTATTGCCGCTGCCCACTACATCCGCAGCATTGCTCCCGCCTACGGCGTCCCCGTCGTCCTCCACACCGACCACTGCGCCAAGAAGCTCCTTCCCTGGCTCGATGGTCTCCTCGATGAGGATGAGCGCTACTTCAAGCTCCACGGCGAGCCCCTCTTCTCCAGCCACATGATTGACCTGTCTGAGGAGCCCGTCGACTACAACATCCAGACCACCGCCGCCTACCTCAAGCGTGCTGCTCCCATGAAGCAGTGGCTCGAGATGGTATGTTCTACTTTCACTGCTGCTAGATAAGAGCGTCGACTGACTGTGTTTAGGAAATCGGTATCACCGGTGGTGAGGAGGATGGTGTCAACAACGAGGATGTTGACAACAACTCCCTGTACACTCAGCCCGAGGACATCCTGGCCATCCACAACGCCCTCGCCCCCATCAGCCCCTACTTCTCCATTGCCGCTGGTTTCGGTAATGTGCACGGTGTCTACAAGCCCGGCAACGTCCGTCTCCACCCCGAGCTCCTCCAGAAGCACCAGGCCTACGTCAAGGAGAAGACCGGCTCCTCCTCTGACAAGCCTGTCTTCTTTGTCTTCCACGGTGGCTCTGGCTCTTCCAAGGAGGAGTACAAGGAGGCTATCAGCTACGGTGTTGTCAAGGTCAACCTTGACACCGACATGCAGTTCGCCTACATGTCCGGTATCCGTGACTACATGCTCAACAAGAAGGACTACCTCCTGACCGCTGTCGGTAACCCCGACGGTGAGGACAAGCCCAACAAGAAGTTCTTCGACCCCCGCGTCTGGGTTCGTGAGGGTGAGAAGACCATGACCAAGCGTGTCCAGGTTGCTCTGGATGACTTCAACACTGCTGGCCAGCTGTAAAAAGGTCTTGACGTTTACCTGATGTGATGTGCCTTCGGAATATGACGAAACCAGATACCAGTACATAAAATGACAATTCAAGAACGGCAAAAATAAGTTGTTTGTTTGATCGTAACCTGGAAGCAATGATTCGGGGGCCCATTGGCTGCCTGTTCGGGGGTGCTTGATGTGGTTGACACGGAGTTCTGAGAGCGGTGATGATGCTGATGATGATGTATGTAGTAAGTAGTCTGAAGACAAAATAAAGTAATGTCTGCTGTCTGAAAGTTAATGCGCGAGTTGTGATCACTTCGGCAGCGTATCCGAGCGATGACTTCATGGACCCGTGTTGCTCCAATGACCCGTAAATAATGGAGTTTGTCTCGGGACATCAATTCACGCAAACATGAGTGTTCTCCCGCTCTGGATGTATAAATAGAATACTGGGGTGTGATGCTGTCAGCTTGGACCCATGATCACCATCGAGGTCGACCAGTAAGAGGGAAGCTAATCTGTGTATATCAGCTCTATCTACTTGTCTCTTCTGTACCTTGCACCAATGCAATTAAATCCCTTTCCGTGGCCACCAGTATCTGTGCGCAGCTGATAGAAACCTTCGTTCATGGGTCATAGTGCCGGACCCTGAAACCTGATTGAGTTAGTGGTTTTGGTCGCTCCCAGTTTGCATGGCCTTCAGCTTCTCCGTCCCCCTTTTCTGACTGTGTAAGATGGATCCTCACAACTATTGGCAATAGTAGTAGAATAGCCGTGCACCGATTAGAGCATTCATGGTGCGAAAAGGGGTTACATAATCCGAGAGATCAAATAGCCACATCAGCCGGTACTTGGGTATCATGAGGTGCCGTCATTTTCGTCTACAGTGCCCAATGAGACTGAGATATCGGTGACAGGGCCCGTCTTCTTTCACTTGATGGAATGGAAGAAGTGCTTTCTGTGCTCCATCTGACCCAGAGCCACAGAGTTGCTGGTCAGCCACACTGGTAAGTATGGTCAGGTAAGGTACCCGGACGACATTGCCATGTATCGTGGCCAATCAAGCCAATGGACGCCCCGAAATACAGGCCTCCACTGGGTGTAAATGCCAAGAATGTGTCTCAGAAAGGCAGCGCTAGTCCGAAGATGATCAGAAATTGTTCCAGACTGGATGGCAATGACTGACCGGGATTGGCCCACCAAAATAGCAGCCGGTCGAGGATGGGGCATGAACCAACCAAATTGCCCGAGTGGATCAGGGCTGTTGTGGTTTTTGCTTTTTTGTCACTGAACTTGCTGGAAAGTCTGATTTTGAGGCGAGCACTGCTGGCACGGTCATCGAGTGACCCTTGAAACCGTGCGGCAAAGAACGAGCATGGAGGGCCTGAAGGACGTGGAAGGGGGAAGGGGAAATAGTAGCTGAATACATATACAATCAAGCAGGGGAATCAAGCTTCCTACATTCTAGATCGTCTGTCCCCAGTCATGCGAGAACCAATGACACCACAGACAGCGTATCACTACTTAATTAATTAATGCATTTCCGACCGAGCCTGCCTGTCATTCGGGCCTGATACGTACCTCCGGTACGTAAGTAAGACCGCCCATTGATCCCCAGAAGAATGGATTGATGGGCACAACGGCCACTCCAACCTTGTCGGCGTCGTGTGTTCCAGACCCGCCTCCAACAAAACCCACTCGGGCCCTCTGCTTCTCCATCATCATTCATTTTCTTCCGTGGCCATCAGTTCCTTTATCTGGTTCGGTTTCACTCTCGTTTTCTTCCCTTCTCTTCCGGTGGCATCGTCCCCTCTTTCTTTGTCTATCTCGTCCTTCCTCATTCTCCCGTTTTGCTCCCTCGATGCCGCCTCGTCTCGCCCGCCATCATGCATCCTAGCGCTCTTCAGCAGCGCGATGACGACCCCACGGAGCAATTCCTGAAGCTCATCTCGAATCCATTCTCATCTGCCGTATGTTTTTTTCGCCCGCCCGCCACTTTCAGCCTCCAACAGTCAGCTAAGACTTTTTATAGTTCCAAGTCAACGCCATCTGGGCTTCATTAGCCACCTCCGCGGGCTTCTCCATACTCTTAGCCTTATTGTTCTCCCTCTTCCGCCCTCGCCATTCGGTCGTCTATGCGCCCAAGGTGAAACATGCCGATAATAAACACACCCCGCCGCCGGTGGGTAGGGGCTTTTTCGCCTGGCTCAAGCCCGTTCTGCGGACCAAGGAGCCGGCGTTGGTCGAATGTATTGGTCTCGATGCGACCATGTTTGTTCGCTTCACCAAGATGTGCCGGAATATCTTTATCTTCTTGAGCATCATCGGCTGCGGCCTCATGATTCCGCTCAATCTCACACAGAGCACGGGAGATACGGTGTCTCAGTATGGTGCCTTCTCGACGATGACCGTGCTCTACGTGACATCCAACGCAATT